ATTTCTGTCTGTTTAGTTGAATGGATTGTCAGATGTTATCCATTTGCTCCCATATTTTAAAAATATATCCGATACATTGGCGGTATGCTGATGCTCCTACTTTCGTTCATATTCTTAAGGGCTGTTGCTTCAGGACTCCTGTTTAGGTTTAGATTTCACAATATGCACTAAATTTCCATATTGTTAGTGATGTAAATTGGTTACTGCTAATACACCCTAGATTCCCTCCATGTAGGATGCCACCAGAATAGTGGTACCTTAAAAGTACCACAAGGTACCCTCTAATTTTTTGGATGTTTGGTACATACATAAGGGTGGTACTCTTAACGTGGATGGCATCTATACATTAACCCACGTACTTGCATTTGGAGAAAAGAGAAAAGAGCAGTTAAGGAGAATTGTTATTGTTGCAAAGCAGAAGGCAGAGACTGAGTGTCTGGTAAGGAAATATGGCTGTCCCTATGAAGATAATAACTTCATAAAAATAATTTTTTAGAACATTAACACACATTTATGAGAATATTTTACATCAGGCTGATACCTTTTACATGTCTGTATATATGAAATAATTGAAAAGACTATAGATTCCCTTCAACTGCTCAATCACAGTAGTTTTGTAACTAAACTTTGCTGCCTGCTTCCGGGTTTGTGGCTGATCCGTGCTGTGGTTGGACACAGAGCAATTTTATCAACAGGTTTGAGCCAATGCTTTATGGCTGAGACCTCAACTGTGTCCAAACACACAAACACATTGTGGATTCTGTACACAGAGCAGTGATCTGGCTGTTTCCTCTTCCTGAAAGGCAGGCAGAAAAAACAGACAGATCTCTGAGTAAAATCAGCACACATTGCGCTCGTTAGGCACATAGTTAACTCCTTGATTTCCCCTTAATGTTATCCCCTTTCCAGTCAGTGTCTGATCACCGTATTAGTGCCACTAACGATGTCAGGTTACTTCCAAGTGAGTGTCTCTTAGTGCCAGATTGCCCGCCACACTGTCAGAAAATATTAGATACTATATTAGATAAATAAGTATTAAATATTGTTTTGTTTGTTTTTCAAGATTTTTGGTATTTTATTTTATATATAGTAAAAAATGAAAAACCTAGTGGTGTTCAAATACAACCAAAAAAAAGCTCTATTTGTGTGAAAAAAGTTATATAAATACCATTTGGTTACAGTGTTGCATAACCGAGCAATTGTCATTTAAATACCGCAGTGCTGAATAGCAAAAAATGCCCTGGTCGTGAAGGGGGTAAAACCTTCCAGAGGCCAAATGGTTAGGGAATGGGTGAACTGTTCCTGTGGCAGTGAGATTAATTCTCAGTGCAGATTTGTGCGTGCACATTTGCATGCACATGTCATGGGTAGGGTAGTCTATTCATCAACGACACTCCTGTGCATCTGCAAAAGTGCAGCACGTTTCCTTGAAGGTCAGGAAGGCACGTGATTCTTCATTGCATTTCAAAAGATAACCGCATCTGCTGTGCCAAGGAGGAGGTGTGACAACAGGGATTACATCATATCCTCTCTTCTATCTCTGCAGTAAAGGGAAACTACTGTTCCCATCAACCTCTGGGAATGGCATTGAATGGCATTGAATGTGGACGGGTACACAAGGCCTGCACATGTTGAATGTGTACTCGCCTCCTTCAACATAAATCACGGCCCCTCATTCTCAAGCTACCCTTCTCAACACCACACAGCAGGACAGTTAGGTGACACTGTTATAAATGTAAAACATACATGTGCAAAAGGTTTAATTCATTGTATGTAGTCTACTTTCATTGAATATGGAATTGTCCCTCCTCTAGGTTTTCAACAGCAGATAAACTAGTTGATCAGAGTCTGTAGCCATACTAAAAGGGATGACGTGGAACATATCCCATGGGGTCACAGACAAAAACACATTTATAGTACAGTAGTACAGCAAGGAAGGCGTTGAACCTCTGACAATGTTTTATTGGCTGTTCTTGTTCAGCTTCCCCACCCCCACCCAGTCTCTCTGAACACATGTTCCATCCCTGTACTCTCTCTGCACTCTGCACACATGTCCCTTCACTGTACTCTCTCTGCACACATGTCCCTTCACTGTACTCTCTCTGCACACATGTCCCTTCACTGTACTCTCTCTGCACACATGTCCCTTCACTGTGCTCTCTCTGCACACATGTTCCATCACTGTGCTCTCTCTGCACACATGTTCCATCACTGTGCTCTCTCTGCACATGTTCCATCCCTGTGCTCTCTCTGCACACATGTTCCATCCCTGTGCTCTCTCTGCACACATGTTCCATCCCTGTGCTCTCTCTGCACACATGTTCCATCCCTGTGCTCTCTCTGCACACACGTTCCATCCATGTACTCTCTCTGCACACATGTTCTGTCCCTGTACACTCTCTGCACACATGTTCCATTGCTGTACTCGCTCTACACGCACGTTCCATCGCTATACTCGCTCTACACACATATTCCATCACTGTACTCTCTCTGCACTTGTTCCATCCCTGTTCTTTTTTCTCTCTGCACACATGTTCCATCCCTGTGCTCTCTCTGCACACCTGTTCCATCCCTGTGCTCTCTCTTCACACATGTTCCATCCCTGTGCTCTCTCTTCACACATGTTCCATCCCTGTGGTCTCTGCACACATTTTCCATCCCTGTGCTTTCTGCACACATGTCCACCCCTGTGCTCTCCCTGCACAAATGTTCCATCCCTGTGCTCTCCCTGCACACATGTTCCATCCCTGTGCTCTCTCTTCACACATGTTCCATCCCTGTGGTCTCTCTGCACACATTTTCCATCCCTGTGCTCTCTCTGCACACACGTTCCATCCATGTACTCTCTCTGCACACATGTTCTGTCCCTGTACACTCTCTGCACACATGTTCCATTGCTGTACTCGCTCTACACGCACGTTCCATCGCTATACTCGCTCTACACACATATTCCATTACTGTACTCTCTCTGCACTTGTTCCATCCCTGTTCTTTTCTCTCTGCACACATGTTCCATCCCTGTGCTCTCTCTGCACACCTGTTCCATCCCTGTGCTCTCTCTTCACACATGTTCCATCCCTGTGCTCTCTCTTCACACATGTTCCATCCCTGTGGTCTCTGCACACATTTTCCATCCCTGTGCTCTTTCTGCACACATGTCCACCCCTGTGCTCTCCCTGCACAAATGTTCCATCCCTGTGCTCTCCCTGCACACATGTTCCATCCCTGTGCTCTCTCTTCACACATGTTCCATCCCTGTGGTCTCTCTGCACACATTTTCCATCCCTGTGCTCTTTCTGCACACATGTCCACCCCTGTGCTCTCCCTGCACAAATGTTCCATCCCTGTGCTCTCCCTGCACACATGTTCCATCCCTGTGCTCTCTCTTCACACATGTTCCATCCCTGTGGTCTCTCTGCACACATTTTCCATCCCTGTGCTCTTTCTGCACACATGTCCACCCCTGTGCTCTCCCTGCACAAATGTTCCATCCCTGTGCTCTCCCTGCACACATGTTCCATCCCTGTACTCTCTCTGCATACATGTTCCATCCCTGTACTCACTCTACACACATGTTCCATCGCTGTATTCTCTTTGCACATGTTTCATCGCCCTATTGCTGCCAGGGAGGAAGCTGAGCCTGTGGCTAACAATTAACCCCTCAATTGCTAAACAGATAAAACATTGGGTGCTTTTGGTAGTACAATGTAAAGGTGCCTGGCAGCTGAGGGGTTAACTGTTAGCCACAGGCTCAGCTTCCCCAATCCCAGCAGATGTGGGGTTATATCTGTGTAGCAGTTGCAGTTCAGCTCCCTTCCCTGTTCTCTTCTGCTTATACAGAGTCATAAATCTCTCCCTGCGTGTTCCAGGATTGGCACAGTTACTAGCCAGGAATCATTTCTGTCTCCCTGCTGGCCTGTCACAGTGCCTTTTGAATCCCCAGTAAATTCCTTTACCCCAGCCTACCTGTGTAGTTGTCCGGCATGTACGGAGTTAAATGCTTGCAGCTCCAGGCTTGCTGACAGCTGTTACTATGGGATGGGAGGAGAGGCACCTTGCCTGTGTAGGCAGTTCAGACTGGGAGTCTCAGACTGGTCTGCCCACTACGGCCAGCAGGAATTGCATCACTGCTCGCTGACATGAGAACTACAGGAGGGATGTGATAAAACCAGTGGCTGGGGGGATGCAATGCATAGCAGCCAGCAGTCCTACAAATAGAAAGACACAGGATTAACCCCATGATTTAAAAAATGTACATGCTGTTTCTCAGAAGCTACAGAGTCACCCAGAGGACGGACTACACATTCTAGGAAAGTAGGAAAGCAACAAAAAAATCTACGTAAAGAAGTTTTTGCCCGAGGTTCTTCAGTTTTGAAGATCAGCTTGTCTGACCTGGTGCTTTCAATTTCCTGAGATGGAAGAGTGTTTTTTTTGTACTTGTTGCCTTTTTTTTCATCTTACAGGGTATCAGTGATAGCTTCCATAGTGAGACCTTCATTTTCATCAAGCCATATTTCAGTTATATAGGTCTGATCACAAGATTCATCAAGACCATGCATCATTGCAGTTTTGTTGTATATGTATCTACGATTATATAACCACTTCCCGTCCGGCCCATGTATATAAACGGCCGGATGGTGGCAGTGCAGGGGCGGGTTGCTGTTCATAAACGGCGCCCGCCATTTTGAACTGTGCACACTCCCTGGGAGTGCACGTCACTGCGATCCGGACACAGCGGAACACCGATCACTGTATGGGACCTCTGTGTGAGGTCCCGATCATGTGATCACTTATTGGCCAATCAGTGATCACATGAATAGGAGTGAGCAAGATGTCACTTCTGACATCATTGCTTATTACGTGTGAGATCTGTGAATGATCACCGAGGTCACATGGTACAAGGCTATTCACAACAGCCTTGTACCATGTGACAAGCTGTGACCAATCACAGCTCACACAGTATTTCTCAATGGCTGCAAGAATGCAGCCAGAGAGAAGGAAAAATGATTGCTTTTACAGCCTTTTTGGGTGTGTAAAAAAAAAAAAAATCTTCATCACCCCCCACAAGTAGTCACTATGGTGACACTGTACTACTAGGGTGACAGTATGTTAAAAAAAAACACATTAATAATATAGAGAAAAAAAATAAAAATGTAAAAAAAATGATAATTTTTGGTTATAAACTAATTTAGGTTTTTTTTTTTTTTTACTAAAAAGATAACTGAATAAATGTTGGCCAAGATTTATTAAGAAAGATTATTTATTTGCAAAATGTTATAAGAAACACTTTTTTCTAAATTTGTGGACTTTTTCATTTATATTGCAAATAAAATAAAAATCCTAGTGGTAAATAAATACCACCAAAATAAAGTTTTATCTGTCTCAAAACAATGCTAAAAAATTGGGTACAGTGTTGCATGACCGCGCAGTTGTCATTCAAAGTGTGACAGCGCTAAAAGCTGAAAATTGGCCTGGGCCAGAAGGGGGTGAAAGTGTCTGGACTTGAAGTGGTTAAAGAAAAATAGATTAATGCTGCGCTGCCAGTACTGCTCCTATTTGTGATATGAAAACCAACCAAGGTTTCTGTATAGGTGTGCTACAATACACATCACACCTACTGAAGATGATATAAGAAAAGTGCTGCAAGGACAATCCTACCTTCAATTGGAGTCAACCAGAGTTAACCAATACTGTGTGACAGTGATTGATGTGCTATAGTGCACCTCCCCCACCTCAAAATGTAGAATGCTCTATGTAACCAACTTGAAAAATCAAAACAACACATCAAATTAAAAATTGAGTAAATAAAATAAAGGTAGAAAAAATGTCACATAGTATTCATTAAAACCAGTTGATGCCAACTGAAGGTAGGATTGTCTACGCAACACTTTTCTTGTATCACCTTGAGTAGGTGGGAGGTGTATTGTAGCACACCAATACAGAAACCTCAGTTGGAGCAGGATTGGCACCGCAACATTAATCTATTTTTCACACATCACAGTAATTTGTGTTAGGTGCTAGTAGCAGCCTATATATCCACATACATCATTCACTGCGCAGGATTTTCCTTTATTCATATCTAGCATTAGTGTACTACTGTAAGAGGGGTTTTGTGGGTAGCGGATCTTGTTTCAAATCCTTGAAATGAGTTCAGCTTGCATAAGTGTTTTCCATGGGTTCTGTCTATATACAGCTGTGTTTTAGTGCTCTGGGATTTTTTGAGGATAAAGTAAAATAGAATTCAAGACCAAATATTTGAGAACCTCGTCTATATGCTCAGTCATTTCAAGCAAAATCCCCGAAGATTTTGGTAAGGCAGTAAGAATCAGGTTGATGTAAGAAGCTAAGTAAGAAATTGGCTTAGTATGTACTGTGCTGTATATCTTGACATTGATTTAGGATATGCAGTGGTTTGGAGATTCTTAGGGGGAAATTTGTAAAATAGTTCATGTGGACTTCACCAAGTATTCACTGCAGGTGAATCAGTCACTGAAATTTAAAATGTATGCACCAGAAAGAGACACCTCCACTGAATGTTTGGTATGTGTTATAGTCCCTGCTGTAGAAATATACCCCTTTTTTCCCCAAACTATTTGGTATTTAACTGCCTAAGTATTCATGAGAATATGGGTGCCCTTAATTGGCAATGAACATGCTTTGTTCAAGACACTTTACTGGCATTCCCCACCAGATAACTGTACAATGGGTATGCTCGCAAATGATCTTCATTCAGGCTTCAATTACACTGGCACTCCTGTGTTTTGCCTTTCTAAATGCAGGAGATGTGTACTGAGAAACAAATTTTATGCTTCCCAGATCAATTGTTTCTGCTTTTAAATGTTTTTACTTTTAGCTGCGTTTGGTCACGTTTTGAATGTTTAGTCTGGATGCATAGAATTCTATTTTCTCTAAACTCAGCTAAACTGACTGCACCTAAACGCAAGTAAACATACAGTGTGAATATGGCACCATTGAAAAAATCATTACATGTATTTACATGCATTTAGAAATGCCCTCTAAACCCTTATAAATACAGATTTGACAGTTCCAGGATAAAGTGGACAACAACCACTTCAATACCGGGCACTTTTACCCCATTTCTGCCCAGGCCAATTTTCAGCTTTGAGCACTGTCGCACTTTGAAAGACAATTGCGCGATCATGCAACACTGAACCCATATGAAATTTTTATCATTTTTTTCACACAAATAGAGCTTTGTTTTGGTGGTATTTAATCACCACTGAGTTTTTTATTTTTTTTGTTAAATAAAACAAAAAACACATGAAACGTTTGGAAAAAATGCACTTTTCTTAGTTTCTGTTATAAAATTTTGCAAATAAATAACATTTCTTCATAAATTTAGGTCAAAATGTATTCTGTTTCATTTCTTTGGTGAAAATAATAATAATAATTGAATTTGTATTTTTTTTCAAATGTTTCTATTTTTTTTTTTTTTTATTAAATTGTTTATTTTTTTTACTATTTTATTTTTCAGCACACCATGACCAAAGCAATACAATGTTACCATCGTAACATTGAACTACTCTGGGCAAGTGATCAGGATTTTTTTTTTTTAACACTTTATGATTGCTAATACCAGTGTATGTCATTGATATTTGCAATCATTGTTACTGAATGAAACTGATTCATTCAAGCTTTTGTTGGGATTAGCTGTGATTGGGCAAAGCTGATCACATAATACAGATGGGCTGTGATTGGCCCTGTCTGTATCATGTGACTGCCTTGAGCAATCACAGCTAACAACATAATTTTATACAATGGATGGCATGATAGGAAGCCATCCATTGTATACAATTGACATGTGATCTGCTGTGATTAGTCACAGCGGTCACATGACACTGGCAACGGGCCAGTGTAGTGATGTGTCGTTTTGACAGGACATCCTATGACGCCCAGTCACAACGGCGAGTGTCCCGCCCGGCCATCCGTCTGCTATAGGCCGGGCGGGAAGGTGTTAAGAAGCACCTGTTACACTGGCAAAGTAAGACTTGTATTAGAACAGTAGTGACCTTCTTTCTTCTGTGTATGTCAGTTAGCCTTACTGATCGATCTATGAAAGATGCCATCTGACCATCAATTCAGGGGTAATCGATGTGTTGTGTGCCTGTGGCGATCTGGCCTCCCATATGGACTAATACTGGATTGCTACTTTTTGTAAGGCAACGTACAATCCTTTAACTACTGTAAATAACTATTACAGAATGTATTTTTGAATTACCAAGGTTATATGGTGGGCTCAATTTACATTTACCCACTTTCACTTTCAGGTCACCCATATAATTTTCTGAGCAGAAAAGAGGTTAAAATGAAAACAAAATTACAAAAAACATAGCCATGGAGACCTCGACAGGAGTTTAATCTCTGGCAGCGATTTCCTATTTAATCAAAGATGTTTAACAGAATCTCAACAGGGCGCTTTATTGTGTTTTTATTCCCACAATCAAGTAGAAAATTCTATTTGATTTTTGCTGTTAGCATGGGTACCCTACTGATGTGAGTAGTGATTGAGTACTGTTGTCTAATCACTGCCATGTCTTCCGGCAGAGCTTATGAGATTTTAATACATTATTTATCAGCTCTGTGACAACTGCTGATGGCTCAGGCATCCTATAATTACTTGTTGTCATATTTTTTAGCTTGGAAGTGGTTTAAAGTGTAGAAAAGTACAACAGTTGCTTTTCACTTCATATGTCTTATTATGTGGCATAAAGAAAAAAACAGATATATGAAATTATTAGGTGACTTGTGTAAGTGATTGGTAATAAGCTTTGCATATTCTTTCTATACATGTTCATCTCTTTTGTCTCTTTCTTGTTGTCTTATTATTAAGATTTGAATGTGTGTGTAAACAGGTTTCAGGAAAAAGGAAACTAAAATGACCGTAATGAAGGGCTTAAGATGTACAGTATGTGTAGCTAAAAATGTTTTTTTCTCATTCATGAAGTGACACAGGATTCAGTAATTTTAAGACAATTGGGTTATACTGCCACATACTGGAGAAATCGGTCATTGGCAAACAAAAATATCATTGGCCAACCAGGTATAACCCCTGCCACTCTTAGCATACTTGTTTTGTGCTAGTTTCCTATGATGATGGACACTTTTTCTTTCAAGAAAAGGTTACTTCTTTCTAACTTTTTTTTTTTTTCCTTTTTGAGAATATTTTTCTTCAATCAAGACTTAATCTACATGCTGCTGGGCTAATCTCAGTATGCAGCTATCCAAATCAGTGTATCCTCAGAAATAGCATTGGAGGCTAGATCGAAGATTTTGGGTCTTATCTGGGACCTGATCTGCTGCTATACAATGTATGTGTCAAATTGCAGTTATGCTTGTTGACTCTGAATGCGAAGATTTAAGCGTTCGTCTGCACATTCCCCTTGAGAATCTGTGTCTGACATACCTGTATGTACCTGCAATGGTAGAGGTCTCTGAGCCTTCTGTTGCAGAGGATCTGTCTGACAAAGTGTCTTTCAAATCTTTGCTGGATGGCTTTGTTCCTGAGGAGTGGCAGGCAACTGCCATAGTTCCCAGACGTAAAGAATACCATAAATGTTCCTATTGATATGATGCATTCCAACTTAAAAATGGAACAGTCTGTAGCTTCTGCTAGTGCTGTTACTAATCTAAAATCCCTGAGTGACTGTAAGACTATCAAAACTTTTCTAGTACACTCTTTACTTTAAGGTATTTTGTACAGAGATTGGAAAACTGATAAACTGTTCACTGATCCCATACATTTTACTGACCAGTACCCATTTGAAGAGGCCTTTATTGTTGAGCTCTTAGAGTTTATGCCTTCAGCCTTTCACCACTGCATATAGGGTTTAATTAGCTTTGTCCATCTTATTTCCTGAATAAGTCTCCTGTCTGTGAATATGTGGAGAACCCTTTTAGCTGAAATTTTGGTCATGTATAAAATTGATTGCTGAACATGCCCGTTTATAGTTAACTGCTCTTCTGTGCTTCTTTGGATATGCTCATCAGAAGAAGCCTAAGCCACAAACTGAGAAGACTCTCCCCCTTCAAAGGCTAAAAAAGAAACACAGAAACAGAAAAAAAGACAGAAGAAAAAAGATTGAATGGTCCATCGAGTTTGTCCTTTTTTTAGTTAACTTTTTTGTCTCTTTTTGTTTTTTGAGTATAGATCTATGTTTGCCCCAAGCATGTTTGAAGCCATTTGCTGTTGACTGGCTCACTACCTAAAAGAGTTCCTTTCATTACTCCTAGGCGTCATCCTCCAGGGCCAGACCCAAACCACGAGCCCAGTTCAAACACAAGCCTGTGGCTCCTGAATTGTCAGAAAGTATCTCAGATGCCTCCTTAAGAGTTGTGGCTTTACAGGGCCTAGAGGCTCTCTACCCTCCTACTCCCTGCTGTTCAACCTGCACAGTTATTGCCATTTTTCCCAGCAGCAGAAAGACTTCAGGGTTTTTACACTAAGCTTTTCATTGTTCTATTCAACCCATTTTTGGTCTGAAAGCTTGTCTTTATTCTAGTTCAAAAATGTTGCTTTGAATAACCATCTCTACCATAGCTTTCCTTTATCAGGGAGACTTTCTTGCATCTGTGAACAGTGCATCCACACTACCTCCCTTCCCTCTGTCTATAAAATCAAGTTGGATATATTGTTGCATGACCAAGTAATTGTCAGTCAAAATATCCACACTGAAAACTGAAAAAAATGGCCTGGTACTGAAGTGGTTGAGGATGTGGCACATCAAAATGTAAATGTAGGTAGAAGCAAAGGAGACGAGTTATATTATCAAAACGATTGCCGTGTTTTTGTGCTATTCTAATATGGTTTGTAGATATCAAAGCCACGTTTTTTTTAAGTATATAAAGGTACACCTACGGGGCTCACTGTATGTGTTTGCCCTGTGGACAGGCCTGTATTTAAAACAGGTTTTAAAATACTGCTATTTATGATTTTGTGGGTTTGATTATTGTGCCCCATTTGGGTGGTATGAATGCTGTGATAAATAATATTTAGTACTTTCATATAGGTTTATTTGTGTCGTGACTCTATAAGCATTTTGCTTTTGTTTCCATTACACACTGTTATTTCAAAGGCATTGAGTCTTCACCACTATTCTAAATTTATAAATAAATGTATTATTGTTTGAATATTGTTTCCCAGGAGAATGGCACTTTTCATTTTCTAGCATTAAAAAAAAACCTGACAAATGGTCTAATCCTTCTCTGTACTATCTAAAATTAAATTTAAATGTTTGCCCTTACATACACTTTAAAAAATTCAGACTTCACCAAAACCACTGCTATGTCTATGCCGATTCAGTTAAAGCCATTTGACATGGTGCTATTCGTAACACATGCAAATAAAGAATCATTAAAGTGTTACTAAACCCACAACAGTAAAATCAGTCTGTATATGCAGTAAAGCTTGTTATACTCACTGTGGAACCTAAGGGGTTAATCCTCTGCACTGTGTAAAAAGGCTGTTTGATCCTCTCCTTCTTCCAGTGTCTCCCTCTTATCTCCTGATAAGACATATTGTGTGGAGTCACTCTGAACATGCTCAGTTTTGTGTGTATTGCTAGAGAGGGTTTTTTTTTCTTTGGAGAGTGCATGTGATCAGCAGAGGGCCAATCAGCACTGTCCAGACAGAGGTCAGGGGTTCTGCATCCTCCTAGAGTAGAATGAAAACTCCTCCTACAAGCTTTAACATGTGTTCTGCTTTATATTTACTAAAATAATTGCACTTCCATTATCTGTGTATTGGGGGAGATCAGATATAGTGAATGCAGGATCCTGGGTTTAGTAACACTTTAAAGTTTACTTATCTAAAGTAGCTGGGTACAGAAGATTGAAGATGATGCTACAAAAAGAAATCCAGTCCTTTAACCGCCTCCCATCTGGGCACTGTGTATAAATGACCAGACAGGAGTAGTGCCATACCTGTACGTCCTCCCACATCTTCTGCTTGTGCGTGCTGTCCAGAGAATGCAGCAGTGGGATCTGTAATGTACAGCGCTGAGCGAACTATTGGCGCTTTATAAATACTGTATAATAATAATAATAATCTGTGACCGCTATGTCTGCCGGACACAGCTGATTACCGATCATTGTACTGGGCCTGGCACCATGTGATCAATGTGACCAATCACAGTGATCACAGTTACAGTAGAAAACAGGGCTGTCATTGTTTTCTACTGTGTGATTGGTCACATCAGTCATATAGTACCAGGCCTAATCACAGTGGCCCTTTACCGTGTGGTAGCTGTGACGAATCACAACAGCAAACAATACCACTTTAACCAAAGAACTGTGAATCTGACCTCATTGGAATGATATCACTTGAAGCAGTGATAATTCCTCACCTCTTTCCTAATGCAGTTGGGAAAAGAAGAAAAGTTCACTGTTGTTAATGCTGATGATATAATATAAGTATTTAGACAGTTCATAACATATTTGGAAACATTACAGCAACTAACTGAACATCACAATGTGTATTTGTGCCCACCTTAGCTATAAAATTAATGTAAAGCAGCTAGTCTGAAAAAAATAGTTTATTCATCTGCTAGGTATCCTGTTTAACGCTTGCTTCTTTATCATTCGTTAGAGTGCAACTTCACTTTTGTTGTGAAAAAAAATTCCCCTCTGGGTGATCTATGTTACATTAACAAACTTTGTTGCAGATTCCTACCTTTTGGTATTCTGAAGAAATGGCTGTTTGTCTGTGTGGGAGAGATTTCATCATTATCAATCATCTGTTGCTCTTGTAGGGCTCTAATGAGGAAAATTGCAGGATCTCTACGCTGATGACACGCAAATCTACCTCTCTACCCTCGCCTCACCTCTTCAGTCTCCGC